AAATTTTTCAGAAAATGATTTTAAATGCTTTTGAAGGGAGCATACAAAATTTGGTTAAAAATAAGGAATTAATTTGTCATGTTAAAAATCAATAGCTACTGAAGTACTGAAATAAGAAAAAAAATCTTCAGTTTCCTCAAGTACAAGTAAAAGTTTGTGTGCCAAATTTTAAGAAATCTATTCCCATTCAAGACATTGCTTTCTTGAGAATGGGACTAGCTACAGTGAGCTTTTGCTAAGTTATCCTGAACAAGTCATACTGTTAACTACGCTAGCACTAACCAAGATAATGATAGCCATGATGTAAGACTAAACAGATAATGTTAGACAATATTTCAGATTAAACAAGTAACATTAAGCCACTGTCATAGCCTGAACAAGTAACATTAGTTACGTTTACCTGAACAAGATAATGTTAGCCAATACTTCAGCCTTAACAAGTAGCATTAGTCTGTAAGTTAGCTTAAGCGATAAACATTAGTCACTAGTTTTGCCCTAAAAAGATTACTTTAACCACTGCAATAGCCTAAACGAACAACATTTTCCCTTACGTTAGCCACAACACTAACCTAAACAAATAGCATTCGTCACTGTGTGAGCCTGAACGAGATAATGCTAGCCACTACCTTGGCCTTTACAAGTAACGCTAGTCACTGCATTAGCCTAAACAAATAAAATTAGTGTCTACATTGAACAAGTAATATTAGTTACTACATTAGCCAAAACAAATAACTAACCCTGACATTAGCCACTACATTAACCTAAACATGTAAACCTAAAAATGTAAGTCACTGCGTTAGCCTGTTTTTTTTTTTTTTAAAAAGCACTATTAGTCACTATATTCGCTGAAACAAATTATATTACAGTCAGTATGTTAACCTAAACAAGATAGTGTTAGCCACTGCATTATTCTTAACAAGCAATGTTTCTCACTACCTTAGCTTAAAAAAAAAAAAACCATTAGCCCCTACATTACTCCAAACAGGTAATGTTATTCAATACATTAGCCTGAACTAGCAATAATAATCTGTGTGTTAGCCTGATATGATAGTTTTAGCCACTGCATTCCTCTAAACAAGTAATGTTAGTGGCTACATTAACCTGAACAGGGAAAATTTCGTGCTATGTTAGCCTAAATGTCACAGGGTGACAAGTATAGTGTGTGAGTGCTTGGCTGCGAGTAATCAGCACACTCTCGCAGGATGCGTGGCACCTGTGTGTGATTAGGTCACAGGTGTGGGTAGTTGGGGGCGCGGTGTTTCTTGTGCTTTTAGGTGACGGCAGAGAGGCATGAAGGACGGCTGGAGAGTGGCTGAGCTGACGGCAGCAGACGCATGGGAGAATCACGGTGGAGAAGCGCTGGTCGGACGGCACAAGGCACCTTGTTTAAGTGCAGGGGACAGCGCGAGAGGAGCAACGCAGACAGAGGACGTGCGAACCAGCCTGCCTAGACTGAAGGAGCTGCTGCTGCCCGGTGGAACAGGTCGCCATGTGCCAGAGAGGCAACGGAGACGTACAGTGCAAGAGAGGGAAGCTTCGGGCAGAAGTGGAAGGGTGGGGACGTGTTCCACCCTTCCTTCAGATAAGTACCCCTCTACTTATGTTATAGCACATACTGAACACAATATCCCCGGTTAACCTGCTGCGCCCAAATTGTTTTATAGTAATTATTTTTTTATCCAATCGATTAAGGAAGCCACAGCCTGAGTGTCCCCGCTATCAGTCATAATATGGACAATTACAGTAATTTTTGGACTGGGTTTATTTGCTTTCATTTGCAGTAGATTTATTTTGAGTGGTTTGTTTATTTCAGTTCAACTTGCGTTGAACTCTTAGTTTGCTGAGTTTTTCTTTTGTTTACCCACCCACAATTATTGTTTAACTGGATACTGATAGAGCATTGATCACCCTGACGGATATCTGCTGTCTTTCAGTGATTGGCCTCCATTGCATGGGAACTGGAGGAGGATTCACTTGGGAAGACTGTGGATGGGACGGACTGTTGGACTTCCCCCCTTTTTTTTTTTTTTGTACAATCTTCCAGAGTATCTCTTATCTATTTTTATAGGCTTTTGTAATAACGGATTCTTTTTATACCATAAATCCCCCCGTGGTATTTGTTGTCTGGTGTTTTGCTCCTCAACAGAAAGCGGCAGTGTTGCATCCCTGTCTCAGTCACCCCCACCACTCAGTGACATAAACAAGATATTGTACACCAGTACGTACGACTTAATATATGTTAAGTGCTGCATTAATCTGAACAAGAAAATGTTTGCCAAATTATGTTTGCTACTGTGTTAGTATTTGCATGCAACCCAGTATCACGGCAATTCGTGAAATAGTCAGGAAACTTAATCTACTGATTCATGTCCAGGGACACTATTTGCCCAACTTTTTCGGGTTCCCCAGCACAAATTTCAAACCAATACATTTCAACTGGAATTGTCTTTCGTGTCTGGGACATGTTTTTTTCCATATTAGACAGCGCATATGCTGTGATGTTTTTGTCATTTTTTTTCTTCCAACAGTCAGGCATTAACCAATTTTACTGTTATGGCCTGTCCACTCTAATAATTATAGAGATCACTGACGAATTTTAACATTCTGTAAACACCATAGGCTGTATAAAAAGATGGATGTAGCAACCGGCCCTGAAAAATGAAGCCAACCCGGAAGTGTCAAACCTGCAATATCACTACGTCCACTAGTTGCTGGCTCCAAAAAGTCCTGGCTCCCATAGACTTGAATTGTAAACAAAGTGATCACAGATCACGAAATACCGCATTCCTACAGCTTAGGATTTTTTTTTGTTAGTTTTCATGGTCAAATCCAGAGATCAAATGGCCAATCTGAAAATAAATACTGATTTTTTTTTTTTTTTTAAACCCTCCTCCTCTGTTAGGGTCGCCAGCGACCCGTTTTAAGTGTATGAAAGAACAACAGAAATTTGTTTATTTCATTGACGCTTCTTGACTTTGTCAGGAACCTCTATTTCAACAAAATAAGACAAAAAAAATTTTTGTACTAAATTTTAAAATGCTCTAGTTGAAATTGTTACGTTTGTGGTGTTAGGGTCGTTTTCGACCTGGTTATAAAAATGATATTATAAAGCAATAGTTAGAGCCAAAACTGAAATCATAAGTGCACTGCCAGCCATCACAGTGACAGCCAGCTCCTCTCCCAATCATGTGAGCTTTAGTTTATTCTCATTTTGCCTTGTTTTCCAATTTAACTGTACAAAAACAACACAAAGACAGGTATGTCCACAATGTGGAGTATAGTCCAGAAGACACAGACACATCTGAGGAGTCTGATGAGGAGGTCACCAGTGGTGAAGCTACTCCTGCTGAAAGATTCAAGTCCAAAAATGGTGAAATCTTGTGGAGCTCAGTACCTCATGATGTACATGGCAGGGCAGCTGCTGCAAATGTCATCAAAATGACCCCTGGAATCATAAGGTTTGGTGTGACGAGAGTCAGTGACATCAAGACATGTTTTGAGCTATTTATGCCATTGTCACTAAAAGAGTCATCACTGTTGTGACAAACCTTGAAAGAGAAAAAGTCCATGGCTGCATGTGGAAACACATTGATGAGGAATACTTGGATGCTTATATTGGTGTTCTTCTTGCTGGAGTGCACAGATCCTGCAATGAAGCCACTGATAGTCTCTGGGACGCATCGACAGGCAGAAATATTGTCCCGGCTACAATGTCACTTCAGGCCTTCCAAATTATATCAAGAGTCAGAGATACCAGAGCAAGAAGTGACAAACTTGGCCCCATCAGGGATGTCTGGGAAAGATGGGTGAAGCTTCTTCTAGTCATGTTCAACCCAGGGCCAGAGGTGACAGTGGATGAACGTCTTGTCCCTTTCAGAGGAAAATGCTCCTTCCAGCAATACATGCCCAGTAAGCCAGGAAAGTACGGCATAGAAATCTGGGCAGCCTGTGATGTAAAAACCAGCTATGCCTGGAATCTACAGATTTACACAGGCAAAGCTGCAAGTGGCATCCCTGAGAAAGACCAAGGAAAATGTGTGGTTCTCGATGTGACTACTGGGTCACAATATCACTTGTGACTATTTTTTTTTAATCAGCTATGACCTTGGACAAGAACTTCTCAGGAGGAAACTTACCACCTGTTGCTGAAAAAAAATACTTTTTTGCCTTTCTCTTGAAGTAAATATATAAGGGTTGAAATTGACCCATAACACCATAGATGTCACTATGGATAAAAATACTAAAAAACTTCAAAACATAAACCAAATTTATTTAAGAGTTGGGTTATAATATCCCTCAGGAATAGTCAGGTAACACAACAACCTTTTGTTTATCTATATCATTCTCTTGAGGTTCATTTTACCATTTTAAAAATTTAAATCGAGGGGTATACTGACATAAAAAGAGGCCCAGAGGCCCACACCAAAAATATTAAAACCAATGTTTTCATGGATAAGGAAGCCTAACAAGGTCACCAAGAGATGAGAAAAAAAATTGAATGATAGAAAAATGTTTTTAGTATATTTTACAGCTGATTTAAGACACGGGTCAAAAACGACCCGTTAACACCGGGGATGGTAACAGAAAGCAAACACAGGAGGAAGGTTAAATCGTCAATTTTGCGGGGCAAGGGGCGTGGCTGGCTTGATTGACAGTCTGGTCAGGAATGATTGACAGGTCGTAGGGAAGAGGCAGCCTGGAGTCTCATTCACCGTAAACTCAGGTCTCCTCCTCGTTTGGATGTACTTCTGATATTATAAACTGTTCGATTGTTTTTTACTTGGGGTACATTTTTTCCACAAAGTTTTACTGTCCGCTGGCTGGTTTTGACCAGTTTTCAGTTCACTGTGATTCGGACCTTGGGCTGATTGAAGCAGAGACACTAAAAGGATCTGTTTGGTAAGTAAATGTTTATTTTCTTATTGTTGCCGGTTTTAATGCACTTTAACTGCAACCTTAGCCTCAGATGTAATGTGTGAAGTAAACTCCAGAAGTTGAGGGAGTTTATTTCTGTGTGTATTGACCAGAGAAGAGGGTTAGCATGAGTAAATATTAGCTTTAATGTGAATTAGCGATGCTAACCGAGCTAGCTGACCAGTCGTAGCCTGGTTAAAGTTAAACGCAGCAGCATCAAGCTAACGATGTTTGTGTTGTGTTTCATGTAATCCGGCTGAAGTGTGTTGTGTTACTGCAATGTGGTACACTAAGTTAATAAAACTGTCCATGGAGACACTGGTTCACGTAACGTTTAGGAAACTTAAATGTGGCTAAAACAGCAACGTTAATGTTCTATTAATAGTCCTGCATATCTGCTGTCTGATGTTTAACTGATGAAACTGTTCATCTACACTCTGATCTTCAACGTGTTGTTGTTTAATGACTGATGCACATGTTGTAGTTCTTCTTACAGTAGATGGAAGAATAAACACCCAGAATAATACCAAAGTAGTGACTGACACTACAGTTAAATATAACATTTGAAATACAGCACAGAGCGGCTGAAGAAGAAATAAAATCTTCTTTCCTAAGTGTGAAGCAACTACAGGCCTTTCTTTCTTTAGGTGCTTTAAAAACTATACATGCAACAGGAAATGTTTCCAGGGTTAATTTAAATGAACTGATGTTGTGATGTCTATCTTCACCTCAGGTGTGTCTCATGTTTACTGAAGATCTTCTGAGTGAAGCCAGCAGAAGGAAAATCTCATCTGAAGCCATTTATCTGGTTGTGAAGAGGAGACTGAAACGACATTATCCTCAGTGAACCACTTCCAGTTCAGCTTTCACTCACAGAAGGACAGAGCAGTTGTTTCAGCAGTTTGTTTTTGTCTGTTCTTAGTATTCACAGGTTCATTTATCGCCTTTAACTTCATCTACTGCTGTTTTTGCATCATTACAATATGGAGAACATGTTGCTGTCATTTATAGCAGATATGCAGCATTGAAACATCAACACATTCAAGACAAGAGCTTCATTAATACCTTTATTGCACATTTTAAAACTACATTATTTAACAATTCTGAACTGGAAATATGTGTCAAAGTATGTGATAGATGGATGAAATGAGTGAGTGTAAATACTTAACAGTCATAAGACAAGTGTGCTCTATGAAAAGAGGGAGTTGAAACTCCCCTCAACATTATTGTTACTCCTGGAATTGATGAGGAGGACATCAGTGCTGCTCTTCCTCACAGGGATGAAGAAGGAGAGAAGACTCTTCACCTCAGGCAACCTTAGCTGAATGTTCATGTTCTCTGTAGATCTTAGATCACATCAGACATAGGTGTTCCCAGTGATCCACATCATGGCTGGAAGGAAAAGACACAAACAGTGAGACAAAGATCTACAAGGTTCTGTCATTCCAACATTAAATATGAGAGGGAATACAGCAGGATGTGACTGCAGCACAATAGAAAGTGGGATGTTTGTAACATGTATTTTAATCTTAAGGAAATGTTTGTTTCCCTGGATGAGGCCAAAGAACATTTTACTGCCTTAGAAGGACAATAAAGTTTATTCTTTTTATTCCAAAGTATGATGTGATTAGTAGAGTAAAAGGAAAACTAGCACTGATTACATGAGTTCCTCAGGTATCTGATAAAGACTGTAGTAGAGAAACAGTCTGCTGGACGGATTTACATGAAATAACAGTAACTGTGACTGAGCTCTGAGGTTCAGTGTGATGTTCATGTCATAGTGATCAGACCTCAGTAGCTTCACTGTTTCTGTAAGAGAAGGAATCATTTCAGCAGATGTTTGTCTCAGCGAAATGAACAGAAGCTGTTAAAACCAGAGAACAGATACATGAGCTGAGAGATTAACACTAATCAGTGTTCTGTGGTGTAACTTTAGCTTGATTTAGTTTCTATCTGCTGACCATTCCTATGCCATGAGACGGCAGCAGTTAACAGACTGAAATCATGTTATCGATCCGTTATGATTGATCAGCTGTGACCTACAGGAAACTACTCACAGACTATACGTGGCTCATTTATGACGCTGACAGACCTGATCATCACTGTTAGCTAGTCAGGAAACGTAACCTAACATTTACAGAACAACTTTGAAACAGGATGTCAGATCTTGTTTCTGCATCAGTGGCTCCAGTCTGATGTTAACTTACAATAATTTCAGCTATCGTAACGCAGCTCGCTGCTTTATATGTAAAATCGTCCAGATGTGGACAGAAAACAACCAGTCACTGAGACACTTTAATACTCACCTGTAGTGTTTAGCTCCACTTCTGGAGGCCAACGTTGTTAGCAGCAGCGTCGGTAAACACAGCAGAAGCCGGTAAATGTGGGTGGGGACAGAGTCCTCGGCTCTCAGTCCGTCTGATCAATCACCGCTTTCCGGCTCCGCCCCCCTCCAATGTTTTTTGCGTCACTGGCTCCAAAAATCCATGTCAATCAGGAAGTAGCAAAACCCTGGGCTGTTTCCGAAATCATCCACTCGCTCCGTACTCCCGACTCACTGTATAGGGATTACTAAAAAGTGCACTATGTAGGGCACTATGTAGGGAGCACCTCGGCAAAGTAACATGTCGAGCTATTAATTACGTCGCGCGTTAGCCGCGATTTGTGACGTAACAGCGTAGTACAAACACATCAAATTCACAGTTTATTGCGTAGCTAAGAAGTCAAATTAAATCAAAGTTATTGTCATTTTGCTGTACATACCAGATGAGAGAGCATTTCTTCAGGATCCAGTAACCTAAAGGAATTTAAATGAAGTGGTGTAGTATGTCCAAATCACAACCAAGTGCTGCAATTTTAGCAACGTTCACTGTCCTGATGTTCAGCAAAGTCTCTTGGCTGTAGGTTTTACAGAATGAATGTCTGGGATAGACAGACACTCAAAATGTTCACTCTCGTGGTCTCCTGAAGGGGCCGCTGCGTCTATGCGCGCCGCCATCTCATCTAACCCATCTAAGAAATGGGTAAAATAAAATTTAACAAAACATACGGGAATTTTTCGCGCTCTTGTTTGTCGAGTTTCCATTTCCTTTCGCGCAATGCATGACGGTCCATATTGCTTGGTTAGTGACCATCGGCTGTGGGATATTTTCAGTGCACTATATAGGGTGTTACATTTGTAACTTAACATTCGGACACCCCTACAAAATGGCATACATCCTATATAGTGCACTATAGAGGGCATAGGAAGTGATTTCGGACACAGCCCTGGCTTCATTTTCTCAGTGCAGAAACCAATGGGTGACGTCACGGTAGCTCCGTCCATCTTTTATACAGTCTATGGTAAACACTGGCACTGCGTATAAGCTCCGTATTCATTCAAATAGAAAAGGCAAAAAATATCCAGGCAGAGAGAAGCTGTTCTGAGATCGCTCTGAAAGTGATCCCAACAATATCTTTCATAGCTATTATCATTTATTTGTGATAAAATATAAATGCATTTACTCTGTTTGGGCATCATTACTTTCATTTCTCTGTAAAGAAAAATGAAAAAAAAATTCCGACTCTGACATGACATTTTATATCACAAATAAGGATAACGGCGTATTATCTAATTTAACAATCCAACAGATTGGCTACGTTCAGAGCACAGGACTTAATGCTCGGTTTGGATTTTTTTGTGACATCTGATTTTTTTTTTTGCGATATTTCCAATTAAATGGGACACGTGATCTCCTGCGTGAACTTCATATGACCCAAAAATGTCCCGCATGCGCAGAAGAGAACACGACGATGTCAGCAGCCGAGTACTGCCTGTGCGTTCCAGCCACTTCCATCCCGTCAGAGCGCACCCCCGGGGTGGGTGGAAGCCTCCCCGACAAATGTGCTACTGTTGAAGTAGAATACTTTAATAATAGTATAAAATAAGTGTAAAAGAGTACATCGTATTGTGGTATTTTTTGTGTTTTTAGTACTCCGGCAGTGTTTGAGGAAATTTGCATTTGTTGCTAAGGCAACCCTGTTAGCGTCGCAGCCTCGCCGTAGACCTGGAAGAGACCTGTCCTACAGAGTCTTTAATGTTTTTATGTGTACAGTAGGTGGCAGTAATGCACCTGAACATTGGATGCCAACCGCCAAATCAATAGAAGAAGCAGCAGCAACAGCTGCAGCAGCTAGGCTGAGCTAGCAGCTAATGTAGCCAGCCTCGACGAGCTAGCTAAAAGCTTCACAAAGCTACAGATACATTCCCCACCGCTGGCCTCTCAGTTACAATAGTCAGATTATGCATCCCTGCGATCACAGTACATCTTACGGTTACCATTTTCCTGCATGTGTCCTTCTTTTCAGAGTTGTACTCATTTACAGAGAAATGAAAGTAATGACAAGCATGTAGCCCAAACAGAGTAAATGCACTTATATTTTATCACAAATAAATGATAATAGCTTTGAATGATATCGTTGGGATCACTTTCAGAGCGATCTCAGAGCAGCTTCTCTCTGTCTGGATTTTTTTTGGGTTTTCTATTTGAATGAATATGGAGCTTATATGCAGCGCCGGTGTTTACAGAATGTTAATGTTAATGCTATCTAATAGGAAAAAAAACGTGTCCCAGGCACGAAAGACAATTCCAATTGAAATGTACTGGTTTGAAATTTATGCTGGGGAACCCGAAAAAGTTGGGCAAATCGTGTCCCTGGACACGAATCAATAGATTGAGTTTCGTGACTATTTCACGAATTGCCGTGAGACTGGGTTGGCGCATGAATGCCGCCACATTAGTTTGAACATGCTAACGTTTGCCTTTGTGAGTGTGAAGCATTGCTATAACAGATGTTGGCATTCTAACTTTTGGTTGATAACTCATCCCTGGCATCAATTCAAACACTATATCTTGTGTATGCGACTCTTGACATGCTTTTGCTGCTGCAGCTGCACATGTTGATGACGTTCAGTATCTCCAGAACGTGCAACTTCTGCACGCTGCTTTCATTACCTACGGTAGCAAAGAAAACCAGGATCAACTTAAGTTTGGCAACAATCCTGATACCAACATATTGACTCTTGGGGCGTCTTGTCATGAACTCACTAATAACAGAA